ATAAATAAATAAATAAAAAGGGCTGGGGATTTAGCTCAGCGGCAAAAGCACTTGCCTGGCAAGCGCAAGGTCGTGAGTTCAGTTCCTGGTACCGGAGAAAACCCCCCCCCAAAAAAAAAAGAATAATTAATAAGAAACGTGAACTAAAAGCAGTAAAGTGATCCAAATGAAAAATCAGAATCACAACCTTTTTTTAGTGGGTGGGTGTGGCTTCTTCAGTCTTGTGTCTGTGTGGGAGAGGAACATCCTGAGCCAGTTTGGACCCAAGGCCCTCTGAGGAGTTAAGCAGAAGAGTGATCGGGGCTGTTGTCGCTCTGGGCACACAGCATCTGGTTCTGTCCTCTGAGCTCTTCCCAACATGACTCTGGCCTGGAGTGAGCCCTAAATAAATATTTAGTAAATGGCATGGACTTGCTGTAATGGGTAAGCACAGGAATGCTTTTGTTTAGTCTATGCATATGTGAGCACAGTACCACAAGAAAACAGATTTCATGCAGACGCACAAGAACACTCTTCTTTGTTTTCATAAATGTCAACTAAAATTATATTATTTATCAGCTATTAAAGTGGAAAACTAACTTTTTAAAAAATAGTATTTCAGATATATACATTTAAGTCACACATATGAAGGAATAAAGTAGTGAAGAAACCCAAGTAAATAAATACCAAAGAAAATATAAGAACAAAATAACAAGTAGCTTAGCAACAATACAGTATAAATTTCCTTAAGAACAATAATGCAGAAACAATGGTCAAGACAACTGTAAATCAGAGTTAAGCGATACGAAGCTGTTCCTAAGTCTTCTGTGTATGAGCGAGTTTGCCAAAGATAACTGAAGCGGGTGCCTAAAAGGAACTGTGGCGATAACTTCCTGCGGTGAAGTTTTATCATTTGCCTCCTTTTCTAAAGTTGGGAGGAAAATAGGTAAGCTTTGAGGATGGTCCATCATGAGAGAAGGCTTTAAAAGAGTAACAGCTGGACAGAATGGTAGCCTGGACATGTGTCACAATGGTGCCATCATGAGACGGGTCCATGTAATAAAAAATGAGGGAAGAAATACAACCTCCAAGTGAAGGCCAAACTGCCAAGAGCTGCTGAGACTACTGTCTTCAACGCTGAGGCATCAAGTGGATCTGTGTGCATATGGAACATTGGGATGCATATGCATCGCGAGTTGAAGCATTTAAACCTCTGTAGTGTTTCAGTTATTAATATGAACTTTCTGCCTGAGATTACATGATGACTCCTGTATGCTTAACAACATCATTAGAATACAGAAAGCAGCATTCTTTATAAAGACACCCTTTAAAGGCTAGGTGGGTTATGCATGCCTATAATCCCAGCACTCAGGAGGCAGAGGCAGGAGGATTGCTGTGAGTTCGAGGCCAGCCTGGAGTATGTAGTGAGTTCAGGACCAGCCAGGACTACATAGCAAAACCCCGGCTATTTTTGGTTTCCAGCACACAGCTCCCAAAACTTGTCGGGTGTGGTGGCACACGCCCGTAATCCCAGCACTTGGCAGGCTGAGGCAGGAGGATCGTTGTAAGTTCAAGGCCAGACTGGGCTACAGAGTGAGCTCAAGGCCAGCCTGAACTGCCTAGGGAGACCCTGTCTCAAAAAGACAGAAAAAAAAAACAACAACAACTGAAACTCTTTGAATTGCTGTAGTTATAAGCATGGAGGTATTTTTTGTATTCTAGATGAATCATGGTCGGCAGTTCCTAGGTAG